TGAGCTCAGGTGTGCCCGCACCGTCTCTAAACCCAGCGTCAGGCAGCCAGCTGGGCTGCAGCCAGCTCAGCTCTGGCCACCTCCAGGCAGTCGGCAGCTCTAGTGGGTGATGGAGGGGAAGGGCCTGTACCCCGAGAGTCCCCCCCGCGCCGGGCACGGGAGGGTCTGACAGCTCAGGTGTCCACAGAAATGAGCTCCCTTTGAGCACCGGAGAGCCTGGGGCGGGGAGATGGTGACTGAGTGGTTCTCTCGTATGAGTGCATCAACTGAAGTGCCACACTGAACGTGCGCTGACTTCCCTGTGTGTATGCGTGTGCTGCTGCAGCTCTGCTCCCCTTCCTTCTGATACACATTGCCTTGAGCCCTCCCTTCTGTATAAAGACAGCAGCAGCTCCTCTCTTTATGCAGGGCAAGAAAAAGTGAGTGGGGAAGTGTTTGGCACTTAATGCAGCATTCACTGCCCAGACATCCGTTCCCTGTTTTCTCCAGGTCAGCAGAGAATCAGGAACTGCCACCGCCATGTTCTTGGCAGAGAGCAGCACGTGTACCGCTTTTAAGTGGTTTGCATATCACCAGTGGTACACCACAGTTTGGGAACCCCTGGTATAGTATAATTATATTTCTACAATCACGTGACCTCACATTTTTAAATAATACATAAGCACAAGGGATCAAATCGAGGTGTTTACCTTAACTTTCACATTTCCTGACCTTTGAGTGCATAGCTGTGCAACTGTGATACTGCATTAAAATATTCTGAAGCTTTGAATTTCTAGGATGGAGACCAGAAATAGAATAAAGGGGAATTAGAGATGTGGGTTATAGGAGAAAAGAAAATGATACAAAGCAAGACCTAAAAATAAGAGGTTTTTTGCTTTTTTGGTATGCATAAATACTGCTGGGTTACTACGCAGGAGGTAGGATTTAGGAAGAGTGGGTAGGTGATTTAAAAAATCCATTTCAGTCAGGTCAGTTTTGCTAGTATGAAGTTGGTGTAAAATTAAAAAACAATTTAATAAAACTATACGTGCATACAGAAATAGTAAAACTGTGTACTTAAATGTGGTTTGCTATTTTGGTGTTTGAAAGCTCCTGCAGTTAGAATATCTGCATAACTGTTATTAAGGAATACAAACCTGAGATTTAAATTCTGTAGCTGAAATGTGGGACATCCCAGCTACTGAGAATTGACTGAGGAAGTGCTAATATTTCCTTAGCTGCCTAATAGCTGTGAGTATGCATGACTCTGGCTTATTTAGTAGCCTGCTGGTATTGGGACTGTTTGCCTGCACCTGCTGCCTTATGGTGGAAAAGGGAGTAGGTTTCATTCTGTTCCACGAAAAAGAAATTTAAATTAACACAATCTCTACTCCTAAAAGCAGACACCCCCCTCCCCTGCCCCAGCAAAACCCAAAGAAACCCTTAAGAGTTCCCAATGTACTATTTTTTAAAGGCAAGAAAAGGAGGATATGGGATGCAAACTCCTTGAACGAAGTAAGTAGGAGATGCCTGAAGGTGGCTTGGAGCAAGCTGGGGCCTCTGGGGAGGTGTTGCCTCTTATCTGCGCTCGAGCAGTTCTGCACTGATGCCACAGAGCGCTCTTAACAGCCCACCTGAGTTCCAAAGATCGATGCAGGTCCCTTGTGAAGGTGATCACGTAATTTTGCCTTGCAACTGTTCTATTGCCTACCTCTTTCTAAGGATAGTTCCCTATTGATAAAGTAGTTGAAGTACTTAACTTTTTTTCCTGGCAGCTGTCAATTTGATTGTCAATTTGAATGGGGAAATATTTCTTTCTGGCGGTTTTGATGTCCATGTAGAAAATATTCATTCTCAGTTGCTTCCCATTCAAGTTAATTTGCTTAATTGAATTGAACTTTTACATGAAATATTGTGCTTTTTATTTGCTAGGTTCTCTCCTATGGGTGTAGATCACATGAGTGGGCTTTCTGGTGTAAATGTTCCAGGAAACGCATCTTCTGGCTGGTGTATCTTCATCTACAACCTTGGTCAAGATGCTGATGAGGGAATCCTCTGGCAGATGTTTGGCCCCTTTGGTGCGGTTACCAATGTGAAAGTTATTCGAGATTTCAACACCAACAAGTGCAAAGGTTTTGGTTTTGTGACCATGACAAACTATGAAGAAGCTGCAATGGCCATAGCAAGTCTTAATGGCTACCGCCTGGGGGACAAAATCTTACAGGTTTCCTTCAAAACCAACAAGTCCCACAAATAACTTGCTCGTGCTTTTTGTATGGAATAGATAATTGAGTGACAGAAGTTGAAACATTTTTGTTAGTGTAAAACTCATTTTGCGCCAATTTTCACAAGTGTTTGTCTTAGTCTAAATGAGAAGTGGAAAAAGTTTTATATTCTGGGATGCAACTGACATGTTCAAATGTTTGAAATCCCACAATGTTAGACCAATTTTAAGTTCCTTTAAGTTATTTCATTTAAAACATGTTAAAAATCCCCTGAAATCTTAAGTAGATTACATTAACTAGACCCTCTGGATGGTGGTAAAATTGAAGCATGCTTTCACTTATGAGACTAACATTTGTTCCATTGAATGTTGTCTGCAAAAACTGGAATTTTCTGAAAAATATCAGGCTGAATTCATTAATTTTCTTGTTTTTTCTGTTGTTGTTTTTCCTACCTATTCCCCTGACCTTTTCTACCCCAGACTCGGTAGTATGGAAGAAAAGTTGAGAAATACTAATGTTTCAGTTGACAGTAAATTGTTTGATCAATTAATAGTCGTTACTACGTATAGAGTTGAGGATTAGGCTTTTTAAAGTCAAGGTCTTGTAAGTAGTAGCATGCCAGCATAACTTTTAACACCATTGATGAGGTAAGTTGCACACTGAGCAGTGGCCAAGCTGTCAAATTCAAAGTTTTTAGAAACATTACTTTTAAAGCCCACGTTCTAATAGGAATGGACCAAAGAGTTTCAAAGAAACTCCGGGAAGATTTCAGAGTCAAAATGAAACTCCAAAAAGAAAGTGTGAATGAATATATGTTGCTACTTTATCAAACTGAATCTCTTCTGTCCAAATATTTAATGCATGGTGCACTACTTACTGGTACATTATAATGCAGCAAGATACTTACTCATTTTCAAAGATCATTATAGTTTGAATTCCTTTGGTAGTTCTATTTTGTAAAGAAAAAACAGTTATAAACATTTGAGCATTGTATTTCTCGCATCCCTTCTAATGAGTGCTAGATTTTTCTATTTTAATAGGATTTTGTTTTGACAACTAGCTTTACTTATTGAACACTCAGCAGAAAAGTACTTACTACTTGCAAGTTAGATATTAACAAAAAAACCCTTTGATTTGTAGATTTAAAGATTAATCCCCCAAGTTTTCTGCAGACTGCCTTGAAACTTTGAGTTGTTCTGTTTCTGTTAATTTTCTTTTGCTTTTTTGTGTTTTTTGTTTGTTTTTACTTTTGCATTTAAGAACATTAAATTTGATTTTGTTTTGCTCAAATTTTGTTTTGTTTTTTATTTTCTGTTATTTTTTTGCTAAGTATTGCACAAAGTGTCCAGCTTTCAAAGAGTGTTGTTTTAAAGAACCGTAGTTCCTCTTTAAGAGTTTTAAGTTACTCCTTTGACAGATGAGTAGAAGAAAAAGGGTTGCGAAACAAGAGCACTACAATAAATCTGTTGCATAGAAACTATGTGCCACAGGCTGATGTAACCCTGCAGGTGTTCTTTGGTAGGAAACCCGAAAAGGATTACTCTGTTGGGTAAAGGCTGTGTGGAGATACTGTGCACAACCGGACACTTGGCCTGGGCAACTTTCAGGTCTAGCATTTATGTTGAGTTGCCAGAAGGTCAAGGAAACGTGAAAATGGGGAGAGTGGCAGTTTTATTGCAGTGTCTCCTTTTTTGTGTGAACCTCTACCAGTCCCAAAGTTTATTTTCAAATTCCAGAGGCCATTCTGTGCTGCCTGCTTGTATCACTCCATCCAGCTGACCTTGCCTTGTGATCTCAATCGTTTCTCCTCTTCCCACGATAGGATCTCCAGTCTTGCACAGCCCGAAGTCATCTGCATCAGCTGCTCTGCACGCTGCGGCTGAACTGGCTGCCCATCTCCATTAATTACCTTCAGCGCTGTCTAGGAAATGCTGTTGCTGATATTTCTAGAGCTGCCTATGGCATACTTAAAGCCGTACAGATAGGCCTTGGCACTGTGAGCAGCCTCCCACTGGTTTTGAGCTTGTGTCCAGTGAATGTAAGTGGGATTTTTGCTATTAATACATTCAGCCTTGCCTTTCCTGCCGGTCCTGTTCACTCTACCATCTTGTGAGAAGCACGATGGTCTGTAAAACAGTGGCTGTGACAAAGAACCACCCAACTCCCACCATCTAAAGTGTGCATTCCGCCTGTCTATTCCAATGTCTGCTGCAGATGTTTCCACCAATTTATCATCACTCATTTATCACTTCTTTTTCTAATACTTCTTTTTTTTGTGTACAAGGAGAGATTCAGAAGCGTTCAGGGGATTTTTCCCAAGTTAAAACTGTGTAGTATAGAGAAGTCCTCTTACCGCATCACATCACCTCTTAAGCTCACACTGTCCTGTTCCACAGGAGTGGGTCTGCAGGCATTTCCAATTTCCTGTCATTCTCTCTTGCCTTATTTCATGTAAGATTAATTTTCAAACAAAATGGGAGTTGCTATTTTATCGCAGCATTTAGATTGGGCTTCAGACTTCCAATGAATGACACCCTAAATGTGACTTTGCATCAGTAAGCATTACAAGTGCGCTGGCCATTGCAGCCGTATCAGCAGCATGCTGCTGTGAGCTTACCACGTGTTCACTTTTTTAAAAAAACTTCATGGAGCCTTTTTGGCATTACTGTCATCTTGACTGCTTCCCTCTCTTTCCATCTCTCCTTCTTTGCTAAATAAGAAGGAAATGCAGGGTATTGTTTCAGTAGTGGTATGAAAACATCTTTTAGTTAAGCATCTGATCCCAGCTTCCTTTGATAGTTGCTCTGAAAATAGTTACCAGGCAATTTACGTGAGCAAAGCATTGCTGCTTGAGTCAGAAAAGAGGAAGAAAAAAAACTCCTGCTCCGATATCAAGAGCTGATACTGGAAGCATACTGTCTGCACCATTCTAACTGTCGATAAATACTCGGCATAAATAGCTGAAGTCAAGACAAAATTGTGTATGTATTCTTGATACTTTTGGTCCTTTCTGCTACTAGTAAAGAGCAAAAGGAAACTTGTGGAAGTGGAAACTAAATTCTAACAAGAAGTAATCCACCAGCAGTTGTTCTACCCAAAAGGTATGAGCAACTAGTTTCCTTATCACATCATCCAGCACACCCGCCTTTGAAGCTCTCCCTTGAACATGCCTGTTTCAAGAGAGGTTTTGGCCTCTTAATCCTCAGGGAGTTTAGAAAAACTGCAGATACGTTCTGCTTTTTCATCCTTTAATTTGATGAAATAGTCATTGCTTTTGAGTGATGCTTCTCAGTCAGTGCTTACAAGATCTTTGTAAAACCAAAGGTCTATCTCAAACCAGAGGGGTCTCTTCATTTCTCATGAGATGCAGTAGGCTCAAGAAGGTAGAGAATACTAGAAAGTCTTGGCTGCTGGATTGGGATGTGATGATTAGATTTTAAAAAACTTGGATTTGATGGTCCACACTGGAGATACGATGGGACTGTTTTGGGGTCCTTTTAGGTTAGAAGCCTCGCAGGATGCCCCCAGGTATCTGCTTCTGACAGATCACGTGTAATTCCTGATGAAAGCACGTAGTTAAGGCCATGCTGCTACTGCAGGGTTTTGTGAGTAGATGGCGAAGGGCATTACGATGTCTCGGGACTGGGCGTGGGGTTCTGTACCAGTATTTCTGAAGGGATCAATCTGGCTTTCGTGAACTTGCAGTTTGGGCAACACTATTTCCTTTTTACGCTTATTTGATCAGACAGACAAACACAGTGACAAGTTTAGCTGCCTGTGTTTAAAAAGAAAAGAGGAGAGAAGGCTTCTTCATCCATCCTCTTACGGTCAGGGCAGCTAGCCTCAGAGCTGAAGATCGGCAGTTGGGAATGCAAAGGGGAGGAGCAGTGATACTGTTCTCGGGCTTCAGCTGGGCTCTATTTTCAAATGGACCTGTTTGCTTTGTGTCCAAAACTCACTCGCTTTCCCAAAGGCAGAACTTGTTTGCATGTGAATCCTTAGCGCTTCAGCAGAAACTGGCCTTTGCTTCCGTAGCTGAGTCACCCTGGGGTTTCACTTGCCTGGCCTGAGCCATCTCCTTTGGAAGGCAGTCTGCAAATCAGTCACCTTTGAGCCTTGGCTTTGGGGCAATAAAAAGCTTACTGTGCGAGGGCAGGATCATACCCTGGGGCTTGGTCAGCCTTCAGGACTTTGACTGTTAAACCAATTATCTTTTTCAGGAAACTTTACCAGCTGTTGAATGTCTGGTCATATTTTAATTATTGCTTTGTCACTTTCAGCTTTAGAATCACTTTGGTTTATCTTGGTATTTCTTTCGAAAGGGAAGCTCAGCTGCCCTTGCTTGGTACGTATCCTTTTCTCCACTTTTTTTAAATACTTGTATCTGACTCTCCAAGAAGGCTCTTGCCAGGCCAAGGCATGACTGCTAAACATGCTTCTTAAGGGGCTGCTTCCAAAACTGCACGTGAGTCTTCATTCTTTGCAAGACTGTGGAGTTTCACTCTAAAATGAGACAATGCCTAGTTAAGAGCAAAACTGTCCTGATTGTGGTTGAAGACCTTTTCCAAACTTCTCTGAAGGTGTTCTGGGCTTTAGAATAAAAAACAAAAAAACAAACCCCCAAAAACCACAATAAAAAAGAATCAGGTTTTCTTAGTATGTAAAAAAAAATAAAAAAAAAAATCTGAGTTTTGTGAAAATTAAAATTCCTCAAAGGCTCTATTCAGACTTGGTCTTTTCCAGTCTGTTGATTATTAATAAGTTTTTATTCCTGCTCAGTAACTTATATTTGCTTCCTAGATTTCTACTTTGAATGGAACTCGCCCTTGTGCAGAAAGCTAGCCACAAGCCTAATCACATTTTAAACCTTCTGTTATCCATTTGCAAATAGGGGAATATCACAGTAAATACAGAAAAGGAAATGCTCCTGTCTGTGCACTTTGTATAAGCTGGCAGAGGCAAGTACAGTTCCTTCAGATGAGGAGAAGGCAACATCAGGAAAGCTATAAACATGAGCAGAATCAAAGCAGCTTAGCATGTTTAGTTCTCTCGTCATTCCATTCCAGATGATGTCTGTGTACTCTAAGTGTTGAATTTATTTTGTTCTTCAAGCTATGTCATCCTAAAGTTTGGTTTACTGGAGATGCTGTGCTCCGCTTCTCTGCGTAGAGGGAGGGGAGCCGAGCCGATGCAGTTACTGTCGCCTCCTGTGCCCAGCTTTGCCAATCCCTTCGCTTCTGCTCTAGATGTGGGACTGAGCAGCATGGGAGAATCCATCTTTGAGGGTGGAAGGAGAAGTCAGGAAACGCCACTGCCCAGAGCCGCATCCCCGCAGTGGTGTGTGTCCACACACCTTTTTCCTTCCCCTTGGTTGGTTCTGGGGTTTTTTTTTCAGTACATCTCTATCATGGTAGCATGAAAACCACTGAAAATTCAGAGATACACGGTAGGATAAATTTCTCACTGCAGTGAGTCCTAGTTGGTCAGTTTACGGTCACTTACGTTTGTCCAGATGACCAAAGGTGTCACTATGGAGAGGACACCTAGTTTTGTAGAGGCATTAAAAATTGTAGTAATGTTGTTTATACAAAGCAATTAAAAGTCTTAAAAAAAAAAAAATTGGCATAGCTGCATTTATAGAAAGAATGTTCAGCAGTTAAAACCAAAATGATGAAATAACTGTAAAGGTGATCCGTTATTTTGAATGTTACGTTTTGGAAATGAATGGTCCCTAAGGTCCTAAGGTTTATTATAATTTTGTGTCCCTAAGGTATTTAAGTCCCTAAGGTTTATTACAATTTTACATTGCTTTAATGTTCTGGGTAAGGTCAATAAAGTAGAGATTCTTCAAATATTTCAGGAGATTTTTTTTTCAATGTATTCTAAACTGTAGTAACTAAAATTACATTTTCTGATAGTTTATAGTTACATATGTGCTTTTAAAAAAAACTTGGAGAATGTCCCCACGTTTACATTTTTAACAAAATAAACAGGTCTTATAATAAACTGTTTATTGAAAGTAGGTCCTCTGATACATCTACCTGCAAAATGTTAGGGTATTTGGGAGGTTTTTTTAACATACAGCTTTTTGTGAACTACTGACGGTGATCTCACGATTGGAGCGCAGAAGTCAAATGCAGAGCAATTTGTCCTAACGCTACCTCTGTCGTAAGGTTACCGTATTTTTGACTTCCCTAATGAGGAAACTTGTCCTTTGAAACACTGTCAGTGAAGCACCTTATTGTAACGTTTCTACTTTTAGGCTCCTAAGAATAGCTTTAGAGC